ACCATCAAAGTTTTATCAATTCTTACAGTTTGTATATAAAAATGCAGTTTGAAAGACAAATATCTTCGCCATTTTTGGAAATTTAAGTTATCCGTTATAATGAACATATTCTCCTTTTCAAGCTTATTAATTGAATTTTGAAATTTCCAAAAACGTAAATTTTGAACTACTTCTCTATAAAGTACGCATGCGCCAAACATTTTGTTGAATGTACCAATAGTTAGGCCAACGAATTGATGTGAAATTCATGGCATTGCATGACTTCACTGGTTTCTCGAAGGTCAAACCATAAATCCAACATTGCTATCTTCACGTTCTTTCTCAACTCACTCCATGAAAGAATCTTCTTGGGGAGGTTTATGAGTAGCCTGCATCTCTTTAATTAAAGACCACTACTCTGTGCATATCATCTCTGGGGAACAGCACTAGTGGTAACTGGGAGCCTAGCTTGTGCCTATTGCTGGATGATAGCAAGTTTAAGAGCGTTCGTTTTGCCACCTGTTCCATTGTAATATGCAGTGGCTAAAGTTCAAGGACTACTTCCAGTGCTGCCGTCGGACATGTGCGCATAGCCCCCTTGATGCAAGCACATGCCAGACGTTGAATCTTGACGAGAGACTGCCTAGCCGTTACCAGAGTAGTCCTGGATACCCAAGCCACTTCTCCATAAGTTACTGTCGGTGTACATCCGTCTTAGGATCCTTGGGATGCACTCCCAGGTCTTCCCCGCCAGACACTTGCACACCATCAGCGCTCTCGTAGCCTTGGAAGTGACCGCCTCAACATGAGTCCTCCACAGAAGTTTTGAAACCAGGATAATACCCAGATACTTAGCTTCTGTGACGACATTGACCGTGAACCCATCCAAGGCTGGGTTTCTCATCCCCTCTAGACTCCTTTTCCTAGTTAAGGGGACAATGGCTGTCTTAGAGGGATTAATAGTATTTATTTTGCTTTGCTATTAAATTACGAGTTTTTAATTCTGTTTTAACAATTTTTTATAGGTAAACTAACCTTCATCCTTGGCGAAACGTCTTACTTTCTTCGGCGATGGTTGATTACCATGAACGGTTTGCTTATGGCGCACCAAATGAGTTTTCCACTTGAAGGTCTACGGAAAAATTCATATCAAACGCTGGTTATGAAATTTCAAAGGTTGCTCTCTTGCATAACTGACCTGATCACAGTAACAACAGCAGTGCGGCCTCTCCTCTGAATGTGATGGCAAGTGTCGCTGAAGTGATTTCACCGAGCCGAAACGTTTACCGCATAAAGTACATTTACACTCCGATGCATCGGTGTGGGCATTGCTGTGGTGATCCTTTAGTGCTGGATATGTAAAATAAGATGAACCGCATATATCACAAACGTAAGTTCGTTTCACTTCCGTGTGCAGCTGTACATGGCGCTCCAAGTTCGCCTTCAAAGTAAAGCGATTCTGACAAATGTGGCACTCGAAAAAGTTGTCTTTTTTGTGGACACGTATTATATGCTGATAGAGGGCATTCTTCGAAGGGAAATCCGCCCCGCAAACCTCACAAATAGCACCGTCTGCCTTGTGGCCGGTTGTATCCAAGTGTTGCTGATGCAGTTTCTTGTGAGGAAACTTCTGTGCACATTCGATGCAAGAATAGGCTAAAGGTAAATATAATAGAAAAAATTATTATATTAGCATGACGTAAAAGTTTGTTGCATAAACTTCAAACTTAAATTATTAATTAAATCCAAAAGAGATGAATGAAGTACACATGTTGGTTAATAAATTCATGAATTATGGAAATTTACACTTATTTTACGCTTAAGGTACTCTACAGTCATGTTTGAGTTAGTTTTTCGAGAATTATCGGGCACTCACACTCACACTCACTTTTGAACTCTTTCTTGCTGTGAGATTCAACATGGGCATGGAATTGTTGACGACGTGAATAAGATTCGCCACATGTGTCACAAACGAAGGGAAACTCCTTGGCATGTATGGTACGATTGTGATGAATAATTTCCTAGAAAATAAAAGATCGTTTTTGATTGCCAAACATGTATGTATGTATATGTATAGCAGGTATTCAGTTACTTACCTCCAGCGATGTACCATTCGGTTGTCCACAATCATGGCAGAAACCCGGATGAATCTTATAGTGGTCCAACAGTGATTTGCGTTTACGATACGACTTGGGGCACTGCAAGCACTGATAGCTAGGCTTCGCCTTCTTTATACCAGCACCGGCAACACCTGCTCCACCTACCCCCAAACTAATAGGTGGTGCTTGCAGCGAAGTACTGCTGCTACTACCGCCATCAATAAGCTGCTGCTTCGATTCTATATCGTCCAAATCATGCTCGTCCATATCATCATCATCGTCGTGTGACAAATCATTCTCATCCAAACCTAATGAAACATTTAATGAGTTCGACGAAATTGAACCTGAAGTGGATGCGGTTGCGGAAACACCAGCCATTACACTGGTTGGTGTTACGCATGCAGAGAGCGCACTATTCATGGCCATAGAGGTACCCGCTGTTACTGCTGGCGGAGTAGTTGCGGCACAACCGGAAGATGTACTGGCGATTTGTTCTTGCTGCTGTTGTAATTGTAGGTGTTGCTGATGTTGCAGTGCGTTCGAATGCTGTGAATGCGTATGTAACATTGGCATAGTGCGTTGTAAATGTTGCTGTTGCTGCAATTGCACGTGTGCCGACAGTGCAGCTTGCTGTGAACCCTGCTCCTGCAGTGTAGGCGNCATGTAACATTGGCATAGTGCGTTGTAAATGTTGCTGTTGCTGCAATTGCAGGTGTGCCGACAGTGCAGCTTGCTGTGAACCCTGCTCCTGCAGTGTAGGCGAGTGCGTTAGTAGCTCTGAATGGAAATTTTGCTGTGACTGCTTTTGTTGTGCCACACCGGTCAAATTGCTACCCTCGAGTATGTTGTCAATACTGTTTATGAATACAGCGGTTGCCGAGTTCTGCTGTTGCATACGCTGCTGCTGCAGTTGCAATTGCTCTTGCTGTTGCTGCTGCAACTGTTGTTGAGCGTTCTCAGCCATGCCACCCAATAATGTTAAGGGATGTGTGTGTAGCTGCTGCTGCTGTTGCGGAGCATCTCGCTTTTGATTATGCAATATTAGCCTCTGTTGCTCTAGTTGTTGTTGTTGCTGGTGAGCAAGAAAGTGTGCCTGATTCGCCCTCGACACATTGTTGTGGAGACTTTCGGATACTGGCTTTATTATCGAAGCATCCCCGCCAGCGTCACCAACACTGCCACTACTATTACTACTGTTATTTATTCCTGCCAAAAGCATCGGGCCATTTTTGCTGCCGTGGGTGTTAATGGTGATACTGCTATTGTTGCCATTATCCAATGTCGGCATCCCGGCTGCACTTGTCATACTTTCACGGGCTACATCGTTAAATGCCGGAAAAGCTAGGGAGCTCGGAAGCTGCTGATCAGTTTGCTCTTGCAAATATTGCTTGGAAAAGTTTTGGTGGTGTTGATGTTGTGATAGGCGACCTCGCGGTTCGTTTTGTAAACTGATGCTTTGCAACTGTTGCTGTTTTTGCTCCTTAGGAGCCAAACTTGGAAGATCACCAACAATATTTGCTAATTGCTGACTGTTGTAGCTAAGGTTACTTAAATTATTGCTTGCTGTAAGGCCATTTATCACAAGGCTATTGTTTCTGCAATGAAATTGAAAATTCAATGAATTGTGGAACAAAAATAAAAATATTAATGTGCCTAGGTCGCGCCATGATTCACTTATTATAATTATTGAATCATGGGCCGCACTACGGAAGTGAAACTTCTCTCGATTCATTTCTTCTTCGATCCATACCGCATAAATTTTGTAATTTACGTTCTGATTTAGCTATGTATGATTATTGGGAATATTTTATTAATTTCAGGTTATATGAATTGGTAATAGATAGGTAAGAGTATTTTTATTTGATGATACATACAAACTCTCGGCACAAAATTACAAAATACTAACCTAATATTTTATTCATATTCCACAAAATATATATGTAATAGCTTTATGGCAACTGTAATGTGAAATACATATAGGTTTGCGAATCTGATTTATGCAAATACCTGTGGTCTTCTTTACTTCTATTATTAGCTGTTATATTCGGCTCTACAGATACATACAATTACCATTGAAATTTTTTTCGGTTTCCCATAACACAATGAGTTGCATTAACAAGCCATAGATGTGCCTGTTCTTATTCTTAGTCTTAACCTCAATTCTAATCTTATCCTTAAACCGGTGCGTTGCAATAAAACACTCTCAATACAAATATAGGCGGCGAGAAAGAAAGAAGAAAGAGAGATGCACTTCCCCTGCATCAGAAGTGTCAATTTTTTCGTGACGAATCACAACCGCCAGTAAAGAAGTTTCATTTCAATAACGGAATTAAAAAATAAATTACCCTTGTTGCTGCTGTTGGTTATGTTGTAAATGGTTGCTGATACCACCCAAACTTGCACTTCCTATGCTCTCACCACCCACTAAAGAAGCTGTGTTCGTATTGTTTGTAGTTGTCGCCATTGTCAACACACTTTCAGGTGTTGTAGCAACCAGTGTTCGCAAATCTATGCCAGCCACGCCATTGCTACTATTGCTATGGCCACTACCGCTGGCACTGCTGCCGCCGCCTAAAGCATCTTCGATATCCGGCTCGATTTCCATGCCATGCATCAGACGTCCAGCGCCTACACCCTCGTCAATGATCTCCTCGAATTTCAAGATATCTTGTGCAGCTACTGCCGATGACATTTGCGACTCAGATTCGGACTCCTGCTCCGAATCGAAGCTGATCGCTGGCAAAAGACGCGGTCTCTGTGCATTCGCCACAGCTGCAGCAGCGGCTGCGGCCAATTTACGCTGATGAAGTTGTTGCCACTCTTCCCGACGTTGCTCGCGCAGAGCTTGTAGCACATGAGGTGGAGGCCTCGTCCCCATCAATTGACCGGAGGCAATAAAATTCTTATAGAATTTCTTTAAAAAGGGCTTATGCTCTTCACATAGTGCGGTTTGTAGACGAAAACGAAAGAGCTTCTTGTAGGCTCGCACACTAAATTCACCCGTACTGTGATGATAGTGTATGGTCCACTCATTGTCCGGGTAGAAAAAGTAGTCATCTTCGGTTTTCACAAGCCGAATACCTCGCACTCCACTGCTAGGCACGAGCTCTTCGCTAAGCAATCTCGTAAAATGATTGTGGTTATTGTTTCTGCTATGAAGACGCGATAAGCTTTTCGCTTGATCACATACCGCTAGTACATCCCAACTGTTATTGCTGTCGTCACTACCAAGACGTGCACTGGCCCCTTCACTGCCGCCGCCGAAAATTGTTTGCGGGTAGGAGGCGCGATATTTTGCGTTCGTCAGGTGTCGCGTATCGATAATGGACGAGGGTATTAGATCCAGCGGATCTCGTTTGTTAACGCACACGCTGTTGTAGTGCAAGGGTCTATTATTGGAAGACGGATTCTCTGCGTCGGCGTCATTCGCTTCAGTATTAACGGCAATTTCAGCATCATCGTCCGCATCTTCGTCGTCCTCATCGAGGCACATGAGCTCCTCTTTGCAAAGGATCTTCTCGAAATTCTGATTCAGATCGGTGGAGCCTTCATCCTCCGTTTTAATCTCTTCCTTTTTGGCAGTGAGCAATAGCTGCAGCTGCAATTGTTTCTTTTGAGCCGATTTTGTAGAACTGGCAAACTCATCGGTGAAATGCGGGAAAACAGATCTCGTCACCCGTTCACAAGACTCAGGGTACTTGCATTTCAGCGTACGCAAAAGATAGTGCAGAGCATCGCATCGGGATGCTGTGTCGAGACTGTCGAGCAGATTTAACGACTGCCCTACCTGTAATTGAAAAAAAGTGATAAATGTTGTTAATTATATTTAATTGTTTGCGGTATGTATGTATGTATGTATGCTAAGTATATGTAACGAGTCGAATATTTATGTACTCGAATAGAAGTTAGCTACAAACGGTGTGCTCCAACTTTAATTTAGATCTTGACTTATGAATAATTAGCCACGACTTTAGCTTGTCAGAGAATTTGTAAGGACGCGCACAGAGTAAAAGTTCTCCACCGCCGCTGGTCTATATCAATCATGCTCAGGGATAGAAGGCATGATTGGCCTACCGTCTACCGCCGAGTGGAGAAAATCAAACAATATTGGTGCCAAACTATATTTACCGGTTACACTGAGTGCGAAACGGTTAAAAGGCGGCGGTTATAAAATTACTGTTACCAGCGCAGAACACAACTGTTAGAAGAAAATATAGCCTGTTTAAAATCTTGAAGGGCTTGTAAGCGGATTAAAAAGGAAAATTATAAATAATCGATAGAACGATGATAATCCCCAATTTCAAGAATAAACTCTGGCAAATGTGTTATGGGTTATAAATGGGTTAAGTATGATATTCTGTATAAAATTTACAAATATCCGTAATGAGGAACCCTTTAAAAATTAAAGGGACAAACGCTAAATAAATCAGGCATTTGTTATGGCCACCTAAAAACATATAAAAAAGGCAAAATTAAATAACGAAATAGGCACTAGGAATTGCAAAATTGCATTTGATTTCCATAAAATCCGTTCCGTGGTTATGAAAATCTTTAGAAATTTTGCTTTTTTCGGTCAGTAACAGTGTGCATTTTCAAAATACTGTTAAGTCAAATGGCGGCCGCTGTGGGGTAGTCGTTAGCAGTGCACGCTACTATTTCGCAGTGCCCAGTCTCCCAAAATAAGTTTTTTCTTATAGCGGTCGCCCCTCGGCAGGAAATGGCAAACCTCAGAGTGTATTTCTGCCATAAAAAAATAGCTTCTCATAAAAATACAATCGCCGTTCGGAGTCGAGGTAAAACTGTACGCCCCCCTCCCCTTTGTGTGACAACATCAAGGCGCACGCCACAAATGGAGGAGAAGCTCGGCCAAACACTAACATATTGTGCCAATCTATTATTATTGTGTATTATTAAAGTCAAACTAATTTTCCAAATTTAATCAATTTAGTATACGAAAAGCAACCAAAATAATAAAAAAAAATGCCCGCATGAGAAACACGCAGGTATTTGATAAGTATGTAAATAACTCTACGCATATACATACATACGTACATACATATGTATACATGTGTTTAATACCAAATACATAGTAAGTAGTAGTTGTAAATACAGCGCCATCGCAAAAATTAAAATGAGTACATATGTATGTATGTATATGCATAAATTCGTACTATGTGTGCATGTACATAGATATTTGTTTGTTTGTAAGCATTGTTGCTGCTTATGTGCCTTTACTAACATCCATCCATAAATACTAAGGCTGAGTAAATGAATGTAAAGCACGATAATCAAGTTCTAGTCGTATTTATTTTGCCTCTTTTAGTGCTGCTCTAGCCAATGTATGTACATGCATGCATTCATACATATTTATGTATATGTATGTGTGTATGTACATATGTATGTATGTATGTTATGGATGTATGATTTGCTTGTTTGCAACTCCTAGCTTGCGTCAAGCTTTTTAGCTAATACGTTTCTACTCTTTTCTGCTTTCCACTTCTGCAACGTCTGCTTTACCAGAAAATTCCACCACCTACCACACTATTCACCCACGTTGTTGGCTCTAGTCCCAACGAGACTCAAGAGGGATATTATGTTTAAAAAATGCATAGAACGAACTGTATTTGCAACAGATATGTAGATACATATGTAAATGTTAAGTAAGAGTATACAAGTTTAATTATTACCTCATAATGTTTAGTATAGCTATAGATATAGACATAGATAGATACGTATGTATATATAGATTCTATACTATAATAAAACTGTAATTTGTTTGTCTGATTGAACTCACTAATCTCCGGAACTGCTGAATGGATTNGTGGCACCTCCCATAGGCGTGAAATTTTTAATCAGCAATAACTTCGGAACCGTAAATCAAATGAATTTAAAATGTAGTGTGAAGACGTAGATGTGGTGGTAGATGTTTAAAAGAAAGTATCCATATATATAAATAAGTTTGTAAAAGGGGACGTGAAACATATTTAAGGCGTGAAATTTCTTCGAAATTAAGCGTGAAGACATAACTAAAATAGGTGCATATAGCGAGGTTAACATAAGTGAGTTTGTATACGTGGCCGCGGCACATTCCATAGCCGTGAAATCTCACATTTGCTATATCTTCGGACCCCTAACTCACATGAC